CTGTACTTAAGACCATTGACATAGTACACATGTTCAATAGAATAAGTGAGTGACTTCCTGACTTTTCCAACTCCAAGAATGTACCCCTTTTTTCCATTGCCAAAGGATACACTCCCTCCCTGCAAGGCATTTAGTAAAAGAAAGTCCATGGTGTTCCCACTCATGTGCTTTGAACACCCACTATCCATGAACCATTGTTGACCGCTTCCTTTCATTGTTCCCTGCACAACAAGATCAAGAGTTAGTTTTAGGAACCCAAGCAAGTTTGGGTCCCTTGTAGTAGGCAAGAGGATGAATAAGAGCTCTCTTATTCCATGTAGGTAATATGCGTTTTTGTGAGTGGAACCTGGTCCCTTTTTAGTAGTTACATTTTCAACAACCATTCGATTTTTCTGAGTGAACTGGACCCTAGCTTGATAATTTTCCTTGAAATGTGCATTGTTCCCACAGTGGGTACATAGCCAGTTTTCAGGTACAGTCACATATTTGCTATGTGGGTTGTAAGGGGTTTTCTCCCTTTGGAACCCTATTCCCTGCCTGTTTCGACCATTATTAGTGTACATGGCAGTGATAGCTTATGAGGACCAGATCCACTTTAGGGACTTTTCAAGATCATTTTTTACTCTTTCCAGTTCAGTTTGGAGGTGCTTGTTTTTTTCAGTTTCAACACACATCCTAGTTCTCACAGCTTTCAACTCGTTTTCAAGCCTAATGTGTTCCTCACTAGCTATCTCTTTTCCTTTTCCAGTATTTCCAGGTTTAGACTTAGTTCCTAGTACCTCCATTGTTTCCCTCAGGTCTGCACTTACTACCAAGAGATCATCTCTTTCTTCCTCAATTTCAGTCACTGTTTTTACTAGGGCCTCCTTTTCTTTGCTGAAGTTCTCAATAGTTTCCTTATGGTCAACAACTACTACCACTAAGTCATCTCTTTTATGCTCTAAGTTGGAAATCTTTTTGGTCAAGACATCTTTTTCTTTCTTCAACTCACAAATGGTTTCCTTCAAATCCACTACACACACTACTAGATCATCTCTGATTTGTTCAACTTCCCCTAGTTCTAAGATCAAGGCATCCTTATCCTCCAGAAGGTTATGATAGGCATCAATCAATACATTAGCTAAAGACATAAGTTTCTTAGGAGAGTATGATTTCAGTTTTCTCTGAACATCCCTGAAATTTACCTCATTATTGTCATCATTTTTATCATCATCTGATTGAGCCATCAAAGCAAAAGTTGAATCATATTCGTTTTCCTCGCTTTTAGCTACTATCATGGAACTATCACCAACATCAGTTTCATCTTCAGACTCACTAGAGGAGCCCCCCATGCTGCAAGAGCCTGTTTCACCACAATGTCAACAGATCTCTTTCTTTTGAAGTCCTTGAGAGGAACCGGGTTCCTCTTAGCTGCTTTCTCAGGGTTGTACTTGGAAAATTCTTGCTTTAGGAGAGGACAGTCTTTGATGAAGTACCCAGGCTTTCCACACTTATGACAGAGATCATAGTTTTTTGGTTTGCTAGAGCTGCCCCTTTTTAGCATTTCTCCATTTCTTCTGACCATCTTCTGAAATCTTTTAGTTAAGTAAGCCATGTCATTGTTCTCCTAACTTGAGTCATTGCTATCAGCTTTGAGTACCAGGTTCTTTTCTTTCTTTAGTTCTCTTCTTTCACTGTCTATCTTCATCTTCATCTCGTAGGTCTTTAGATTTCCAACCATCTCTTCTATGGTCAACTCCTGCAAGTCCTTTACTTCAGTAATAGCATTCACCTTGCTTTCCTAAGGGCTAGGCAGAATACTGAGGATTTTCCTCACTAGTTTGTTCCTAGGAATGGTTTCACCAAGTGAGTGTAACTCATTTATGATGGAAATGAATCTTGTGTGCATATCTTGAATAGATTCATCGTCCTTCATCCTGAAGAGTTCATACTCTGTAGTGAGCATATCGATCATAGATTGTTTTACTTGGGTGGTTCCCTCATGAGCTGTTTGCAAAGCTTCCCATATCTCCTTAGAAGTGTCACAAGCAAAGATTCTATTATATTCATCAGGTTCTATTCCACATACCAAAATCTTCTTGGCACGAAAATTCTTCTCCACAGCTTTCATATCTGCGTCAGTGTATTCTTTACTAGTTTTTGGCATTGAGAATGGAAGTTCTTCAAGTACCTTTATTAGGACATAAGGACCGTCACATATGACATCCCATAACTCAGAATCCTCAGCCATGATAAAATCATGCATTCTTGTCTTCCATCACCCATAGTATTGTCCATTGAACCGAGGTGGTCTGTATGTAGATTAACCTTCTTCAAAATTTGGTGGAGCAACCATAAGGATCCTTCCTAGGTGTTAGCCTGATAGGAGGAACCTACTCTGATACCAATTGTTAGTTTGTATGAGTCCACCAAATAGTAGAATACATGATCCTCTATGAGGTTGTACTGAGAATGCTAGTGAAACGGTAAGTAAATAAGACACGAGATTTTTACGTTAAAAAATCCCAACTCAAGGGGACAAAAACCACGACCTACACTTGTAGGTTTTCAACATCACTAACTTGTAAACATCTATTACAAGCCACTTTGTAATGACTCCATTACAAAAAATTCAACTCAACTAACTTGAAATCTGTTGACAAAGAGACAAAAAGAATTGTAAAAAAATTGAAATTATTCACATAGAACTAGTTTCCAATCATTAGAGTTCATGTAGAGAGAGTAAGTAGTAACTGAAAAATCCTATTCATCAAATTTCGAAGCATACATCAGGAGTGCAGGAGTTATGAGAAGCCAGCTGCAGAAACTCAAGTGTTAACTTTGACTGTTTTCCTAGGACTAGCCTTTTATGTATAAGACTATAGACTGCAGTTAATATAGGAAAATGAGTTGTTATGTTCCTTTGCTTGGAGTAGCTATATGAGAATAGCTAAGTTTGATTTGTGATAGGTTTTCAATGTCTCTGCCTTATGTTTTGATGATCTAACAAATTTACTGTCAAGGACCAGATAGAGAACCTGACACACTTGGGCTACACTGCAAGTTAACGGATTCCAGCTAAATATGAACTACTATAGCTTCAGGAGATAGAGAACCAAACAAGGACCTGATACCCTTGTGATTCCCTCATAGCAGTACGAAGTCAATTGGATATAGCTGAAAGCGACGTGATTGTCTGCACTGCACTGTTTCCAGTGGCCACTTATCCTTTGACCAACTAAAGTGCTTACATCATTCAAGTGATGTCATCAAGGTGTATCAACAAGGAGTTTATATCAAAACATCACTTGAACACTTCATTTTTTACTCAAGCCTTTTCCAAAACAGTGAACTTAATTCTCAAAAGCTTGAAAAACAAAGTTAAACGCTACTACGGACCAGTTCCTAAAGTTAGTATTTTGTTGTCCTTAGTTGAGTTGTAATTTTTGTGATTATTCTTATTGTATCTCCTAAACTACTTAGCTAGAAGTGTTGATTAGGAACCCTCTTGTAAAATTCATAAACTCTCTGAGTTTATGTTGTGACTAGTTTTAGTCATAAGTTAAAGTCTTTGTAACTATATGGAGGACACTTCATGAATAAGGAAATTCTAAATAGGATAGTCGATAATAATTAAAAAATAAGGAAATTTGGATCTGTCCTATTTCTTGTCAACGGAGAGGTAGGAATATATCGTCAATACACGTAGGAAAACTGAATAACAAATTAACTTTTAACAATAATCTTCTAATGACTAATTTAAAACTAAAGAAAGACTTTACATAAAGTTGGTAAGAGTGCATTTGTAGCTCAGACACGACAGATCAACCCAATAATATAAATTACTATAGGTTTTATTGGCAATTTGGCATCCAAAGAAAGTATTTAGAAAATTGGCAAAATACATGAAGACCCCATTAAACTTGTCAAAAAATAGATTTGAACACCTAAACTAAACGGGTGTTCTTTTACCACCTAAACTAAACGGGTGTTCTTTTACCACCTAAACGTATTTGAAGTGAATTATTTTCCTACCTGAAATACTAATACCAGTCTCAGCATATGAGGTGTTTTACACGCGCGCCATGTCAAAACCATGTCAATACTAGACTTTGAAGTGTTATAGGCCTTAAAGGAGTTACAAGAACTGGAGGCTTAGATGGTGGTGTTGGAGTTTTTGGACTGTCCGAATTTTTACATGGTGGTGGCGGAGATGAAGGCGGTACACTAGCCGGAATACTAATCGAAAGAGGCGGTCACGGCGGTGGTGGTGGGGCAATGGAAACTGGCTCAATTTGCTATATCTGATTGGTGATTCTCGCCGGAGCTTCAAGATTCTGATCCCAAACATTGAAACTTCGGGGCTAAGAGTCAATGCTTATCCTTGAATATCTCTCCGGTGATGATGAACTAGGAGGAGATGGTGAATCAGATTCATTCCCCATGACTAATATCGGCACAAAATTTGCTCGCGACTGAAGCTGAGGTGGAGGAGAATACTGAGGTGGTGGAGCAGTATGAATAGCGACCAGTTCCGGTGACTTAAGGCATTAAACTTTTCGGACTCAAACTCATCGGCAGAGAAATGATCTGTGATACAGACAGATCCAGTGAACCTGAACCAGAACTGGAAGACGAGTACGAAGAAGAAGAAGATTAGATTTTGCTAGCGCTTTTGAGTTGGTAATCGTGAACTCTATGTTTTCGAAGAGGGAGGAACATTTGGTTACTTTCCGAAATATGGTGACTAAGACTCAAATTGACTATCTCCTCTTCAGGAGGTGTGATAGAGGGTTGTGTGAGGATTGCAAGGTGATCCTGAGTGAGAACCTCACAAATCAACATAGGCTCCTGGTGATGGACGTGGGTATCTTGATGAAGAGGAAGAAGAGGTTTGTACAGGGTCAGTTGAGAATCAGGTGGGGAGCTTTTTCTGAGGATAATGCACAGGAGTTGGAGGGGCAGTTGATAACTATGGGTGCCTAGAATAGTGGTGGGACACTAGTGCTATGTGGACGGCAATGGCGGGCTGTATAAGGGAGGCAACGAAAGAGGTGTTGGGAGATTCGAAAGGTTACTCTGGCAGGCACCGAGGCAATTGGTGGTGGAATGAAGTGGTCCAAGGGAAAGTGGAAGCCAAAAAAGCGACTTACATTAAGTTAGTAGAAAGCACAGACGAGGATCAGAGGAGAGCGAACAGAGAAAGATATAAGGAGTCTAGGAAGGAGGCGAAATTAGCGGTCATAGAGGCTAAGACTGCTGCATTTGGTCGGCTGTATGAGGAGCTTGGGGGAAAAGGTGGGGACAAGAAGTTATTCCAGTTGGCCAAAGAAAGAGAGAAGACGGCTTGCGACTTGGATCAAGTGAGGTGCATTAAAGACGAGGACGGTCGAGTATTGATGGAAGAGGCCCAGATTAGGCAAAGATGGCAGTCGTACTTTCATAAACTTCTGAATGAAGAGGGGGATGGAAACATTGTATTAGGGAAATTGGGTCACTCCCAAAGCCACCACGACTTTAGGTATTGTAGGCGTATTAACGTTGAGGAGGTCGTGGGTGCGATGGGTAAGATGAGTCAGGTTAAAGCAACCGGACCAGACGAGAGTCCAGTAGAGTTTTGTAGATATGCGGGTAGAGTAGGCTTGGAGTGGCTGACTAGGTTGTTTAATATTATCTTCAGGACGAAGAGGATGCGTGATGAGAGGCGGTGGAGTAAAATGGTTCCGGTGTACAAGAACAAAGGTGATATACATAATTGTAACAACTATAGGGGTATAAAGCTAATAAGCCGTACCATGAAAGTTTGGGAGAGGGTGGTGGAAGGGAGGATAAGGAGGGAGGTGTCTATATCGGAAAACTAGTTCGGGTTCATGTCGGGTCGTTCTACTACGGAAGCTATTCACCTTATCAGGAGGTTGGTGGAATAATACAGGGATAATAAGAGGGATTTGCATAAGGTGTTTATTGACCTATAGAAGGCGTATGACAAGGTCCACAAGGACGTCCTTTGGAGATGTCTGGAGGTGAAAGGTGTGACGTAACTTACATTAGGGCGATAAAGGATATGTATGATGGAGCTATGACTCAGGTTAGGACTATGGGAGGTGACTCAGAGCCTTTTCCGGTGGTTATGGGGTTACACCAAGGATCTGCACTCAGCCCCTTCTTATTTTCCCTAGTGATGGATGCACTAACACACCATATCCAATGAGAGGTGCCATAGTGTATTTGTTCGCTGATGATATAGTTTTGATTGATGAGACGTGAGGCAACATTAATAGGAGACTGGAGGTGTGGAGGAAGGCCTTGGAATCTAAAGGTTTCAAGTTGAGTAGGACTAAGACGGAATATATGGAATGTAAGTTAAGCAAAGTAATGAGGGAAGTGGATGTGGAAGTCAGGCTTGACTCACAGATCATCCTCAAAAGAGAAAGTTTTAAGTACTTAAGGTCAATAATCTAGGGAGATGGGAAGATAGACGGGGATGTTACGCACCGTATTGGGGTGGGGTGGATGAAATGGAGGTTAGCATCTGGAGTCTTGTGTGACAAGAATGTGCCTCCAAAACTCAAAGTAAGTTCTATAGAGCGATTGTTAGACCGGCCATGTTGTATAGGGCTGAGTGTTGGCCAGTCAAGAAGTCACATATCCAGAAGATGAAAGTTGCAGAAATGAGGATGTTGAGGTGGATGTTTGGGCACACTAGGCTGGATAAAATTAGGAATGAAGATATTTGGGAGAGGTTGGGCGTGGCTCCGATGGATGACAAGATGCGGGAAGTGCGTCTTAGATGGCTCGAACACATGTAGAGGAGAAGCCGAGATTCCCCGGTTAGAAGGTGTGAGCGGTTGGCTTTGGTAGGTACGAGAAGAGGTAGAGGTCGGCCTAAGAAGTATTGGGTCAAGGTAATCAGATAGGACATGGCACGGCTCCAGATTCCGAGGACATGACTCTATATAGGAAGGTGTGGAGGTTGAGCATTAGGGTTGTAGGTTAAGGGGTAGTCGAGCATTAGGGTTGTACATTAAGGGTTGTAGGTTAAGGGGTAGTCGGGTATTCGATTTATGTTGTGTTTCAGACTTTTGTATAATATTTGTGGTACTACTTTTCCATCTATTTGATGTCACTCACGTTGCTGATATTATTTTTTCGGGTTTTGTTGTCACAGATCTATTATCTCAGAGCCGAGGGTCTCCCGGAAATAGCCTCTCTAGTGTTACGCCCCACAGTATTACGATGATGTTACCCCCTGCAGTAATATATTACGATGATGTTACGTCCTGCAGTATTATATTACGATGATGTTACGCTTCGCAGTATTAAGTTACGACAGTATTGCACCCAGCAGTATTACATTACGGTGATGTTACGCTTTGCAGTATTAAGTTACGACAGTGTAGCACCCAGCAGTATTACATTACGGTAATGTTACGCTTCGCAGTATTAAGTTACGACAGTATTGCACCCAGCAGTATTACATTACGGTGATGTTACGCTTTGCAGTATTAAGTTACGACAGTGTAGCACCCAGCAGTATTACATTACGGTAATGTTACGCTTCGCAGTATTAAGTTACGACAGTATTGCACCCAGCAGTATTACATTACGGTGATGTTACGCTTTGCAGTATTAAGTTACGACAGTGTAGCACCCAGCAGTATTACATTACGGTAATGTTACGCTTCGCAGTATTAAGTTACGACAGTGTTGCACCCAGCAGTATTACATTACAGTGATGTTATGCTTTGTAGTATGAAGTTACGACGATGTTGCACTGAATTTGTCGTAAGGTAATTAACATCAGTCTAAGTAAAAGATTATTTGGAGATTATAAGGATTATGTTATTACACAAGTGATGAATAAATTTGTGAAGGTGAAAGGAGAAGCAAGTCAAAGAAAATGAATTTTTCGTCCAAGTTTGGCATATTGGGATAAAATACGGCCCGAGCTAAAATACCTGGTATTTATGGACTAGTGACATGCAAGGTACTACATGTCCATGCTAGTAAGGTGTAAAAGGTATGTGAAAAATGAGTAATATTTTAAGTAAGTAGGAATAATTCTCAATTTTGCGGGTAATTGATTAATTACCGGGTAATAGGACATTACCCAGTTAACTAATAAGTGGATAAAACTTAATTAATACTCCAAGGACATGTGGCAACACTAGCTTACCACATGAAGTGACTAAGCAATTAAACATCCTAGGTGGCTATATATGATGTACTTGAATCAGAAAACTAAAAGAGTGATTATCCTTTTATCCAAAACAATTCATGTACAAATCTTGAACACAAAGTAACATTTCTGGTTTCAATAAGAAAGCAAGAAGGATTTCCATTCTTACTTTGAAAGGTTGGAAATTAATTCCTTGTGAAGGATCAAACAACCTTCTGTTTTGGTTTAACACCAAAAACAGAAACCATTTCGTCCAAACATTTCAAGAAATCATAGCATAATTTCGTCCAAGATTCAGAAAGCAGAAATTCGATTTCTTTTGAGTTCTAAGTTCAATCAACGAAAGTTCTCCAACGGAATATTATACAAAGTTTTCCCTACTCCAGGTATGTTAAGGCTATCCCTTCTTTCTTTTGGCATGATCTACACGATACGAATGAAACGTGCAAATGCACAAATTCCATAAATGACTCTATTCATAGAAGTATTAGAGATATCTATGTTCTTGAATTTCCATGTGTCATAATATTTTATCATCTGTTCATGGGTCTCAGAAAAATATGAAAGTTAAAACGAGTTTACTTTATGATATTACTCAAAGGAAAAATAGTCTTATGACATTTTGAAAGATTTTATTAACGTATTTTTCATGCATTGCATTCATGTACATTGACCCGTGACCAGATGGCGTTATATACGCATATATATNTACTATAATCATTTCATGATTTACAAAGTTATTCAGACTTATAGGTTGAGTCATGTACTACATATTTCTTCCATGTCTGTTATGTACTTATTTATGTGCCTTACATACTCGATACATTTTTCGTACTGACGTCCCTTTTGCCTGCGGATGCTGCATTTCATGTCTGTAGGCCCCGATAGACAGGTCAAGAGCCCTCCAAGTAGGCTATCAGCTCAACGGAAGATGTTGGTGCGC